GCACTCCTCCTTCCTTGGCTCTTGGGACCAAGACGGGCCGGGCAAGTGCAGCTGCCCCGGGTCCCGTCCCCGGCTAGGTCCTCCGCGACCGAAAGGTGGCGAAGGTGCAAGGGAACTGGGAGCAGGCTCGGAGCCCTCGCCTGGAATCCCGATCCTACGCGCCGCTCAATGCCCCTCTCGACCGAAGGCACGTCTTCCGGGAGGCCTTCCTTGGATCTGCTGACTGTTGCACTTCAGGGTATTCGTTGCACCTTGACACGCTGATTTTCATGTTTTGTTTACCACCTAACTACAGTGGCTGTTTCATGCCCTCCACCACTACCACCACCGTTGGGCAGAAATAAACTCACTGGTTCGGATTCCTTCCGCCCCTCACCATTGGCCAGGATTCATTGTAATGTCACTGACTCTCTGTTTCATTCCCCTCCGTTCCAACCCTTGCGAACACCTTTGGGCAGGACTGTTAGATCACTGACTCTGTTTCGTGGCTCGCCACCTCTGGCTCCCACCAACCCTCCTCACCCCCACGCCCCCGCCCAGGCCAACACCTTTGGGTAGGATTAATTGTTAAGTCACTGACTGCTACGTGCCGCCACCACCACCTCCATTGGACAAGATCAATTATAAAGTCACTGACACTTCTTTTAGTGCCTCCCCCCACCCCCCTGTGAGCTCCCCCTAACACCATTGGTCAGGATTAATTGTAAGGGCACTGACTCTGTTTCATGTCCCTACCACCACAACCACTGGAAAGGATCAAATTTAAGAACTTAGGCCCTATCTTTCATACCCTCTTTCATACCTCTACCACCACCATAGGACAGCCTGTTACATGCCTCACCACCGCCAGCATCACTACTTCTGGGCAGGAGTCTATGTATTACATAAGACTAATATAAGAGGGGACATAAGCTCAGGGCTCAGTATATGAAATCATTATTTCCTAATGTGAAGGTATACAGTACAGCTTGCTCTAACCATTTCCACCAACCTTGCTTTATTTTTGGCAACGTGTAAACATCAACTAAAATGAAAGGTATAATGTTTTCTAAGGGAAGGTAAAAATGTAACTGGAAACCACTCCCTTGGTCTCATTAGACTGGTTTTCTCACTGAGTAAGATTATTGGTATGTAGCTATTTAGCTTTTGTGCCTTCCTTGGATTTTTATGCACACAATTCTTTGCTTAATACTATCTCTACTCTGAACTTAAAGAGAAAAGTAATGCATACACTCAGAGAGATCAGTGGTCTTCCCTCACCTGTAGATTTTCAACTACATCTTGGTCATCTTGGTGGTGGTATGGTATGTAGACTACCATGTCTTTTCCATTCAAACCAAAAGCCCAAAGAAGACATAGTAACAACCTCTTTAATCAGGAGCTTTGCCAGCAGAGCTAAGGAACCCTGTTGATCTGGATGGGCAGACAAAAAGACCTGTGGCCTGTGGTTCCTCCAGTGACTTTCTCATGTGCTGTCTGGAGGCAGAGTGTACTTGGTTGCAGTTGTGGGAGTCAGTGAGCAGGAAGAAGCTGAATATCAGTGGACAGGGAGTTTTTCCCAGCCTAAGCCACAAATCACTGCTGATCTTTCTGAGCTTGAAAAGATTTGTTTCACTCCCTTTTTTACTGAACAAAATGCTACTTTAAATCTACATATTCTGCTGATTTATTGAATTTTCATGTGCCTCGTTTTAATGTTTTCCCAGAAGGTGGTGAAGTCTTAGAAGTTGGGAACAATATGGAAGAGCCTGGTATAATAGAAATTGTGCTGGTCCAGGGCTCAAATGATTCAGTCCTAAGCTTGGTTCTATAACTGACTAGCTGTGTGACCTTAGACAAGTCAATTAGCTTTTCTGTGTCCCCGTTACTTCTTATGTCAGATGGGGATATCCAATTTCTCTCCCTGGCATTTGTGACAATCATAGGAAATAAGTGATGTTTAATATAAACACAAGGTATTGTTGTACCTCTTTTATACAGCAACACATATAATTTTAGCTAATAGTTTCAAGTTAACTAGCAAAATCCAGAAGCTGGTCGCAGTCATAAGAGAAGGATCTTGAGGGAAATAAATAGATCATGTTGACTTTTGTTTCAATTATTTGTACACATCAAGGTCTTGCCCAGGCCCTGCTCCCAGTGGCTCTTGAAGTGGGACCCCTGGACTAGCAGCAGGAGTGTCACCTGGGAACTTGTTAGAAATGCAAACTCTTGGACCCCACCCCAAACCTAATGAACCAGAAACTTTGGGGGTGGGGCCTGGCAATCTGTGGTTTAATAAGCTATGGGGGTTTTAAAGATATGGCCACGAATTCTTTGATATTCCTCCCCTCAAGAGATAGACTTTAATTCTCCTCCCCTTGCACATGGGCTTGATTTAGTACTTGCTTCTACCAAATAGAGAATGGCCAAAAGTGATGAGATAACACTTCAAAGATTAGGTTATAAAACAATTTCAGTCCTATATGGCCAGTAATCCTCAAAATTATCAAGATCATTAAAAAGAAGGAAAATCTGAAAAACTGTCACAGCCAAGAGAAGCCTAAGGAGACATGACAACTAAATATAATGTGCCAACCTGGATGGGATTCTGAAACAGATAAAAAGGACATTAGGTAAAAACTAAGGAATTCTGAATAAAGGATGGACTTTGGACCAATTTTGTTTAATAGTAATGTGTCAACATGTGTTTGTGAATTGTAACAAATGTACCCTACTAATGCAAGATATTACTAGTAGGGAAAAGTGGGAAGGACATGTGGGAACTTTGTGTACTGTCTTCTCAAATTTGTTGTGAATCTGAAACTGTTCTAAAAAAAATAAAGTCAATTGTTACAATACAGAATTGATGACTATAGTCATCACATTATACGTTACATTCCCAGAGCTGATTTATCTTATAACTGGGAGTTTTGAAAGTTAATCAGAAAGCAGATCTTAAAAGTTCTCATCACAAGGGAAAATAATTTTGTAACTATGTGAGTTTATGGATGTGCACTAAATGTACTGTGGTAATCATTTTGCAGTAGATACATGTATCAGTCGTTATCTTGTACACCTTATACAATGTTATACATGTCAATTCTATCTCAGTAAAACTGGGGAAAAAGCAAAAGCAGTATCTTTTGGTTACAAAATGTAATGTAAAATATATTCAGATAATATAAAGAAAATATTTGATAGCAATAAAAATATTTTATAACCATACAATAACTCCTGAACATTTAAAGCACATGAATGACTACTACTATTAATAACAATAATAAAGTCAACATTTTTAAAAAGACTGTGGCTTCTATTTTAAGGTTCCCTCTCTCTCCCTCCCTGTCTGTGTCTGTCCGTGTCTGTCCGTGTCTCTCTCGCTTTCTCTCAGAAACCACCTGCCATGCTGCGAGAGTGAGCTTGCAAGCACATCCCTTTGGAAGCAGCTCCTTTCCCTGCCTGGCATCTTGACTGTAACCTCATGAGAGACCCTGAACCACAACCACTCCGCTAAGCGGCTCCTGGACTCCTGACTCACAGGAATGTTCACAGTTTATTCTAATAAATGTTCGTTGTTTCCAGCTGTTAACTTTGTGGATGATTTATTATGCAGTAATAGTTAACTGATCTATAAGCCCTCCGGATGATCCTGACACAGGCTCAAGTGTGAGAACCAGTGTCCTGCGCTTTGTACTCTAAACCAGCGCCCAATTCCTGCTTGTTAATGCCTCAGACCTCAGCAAAGTCATCAATTAGACATCAAGGGAGGCTTTCCTTGACCATAAGGCTATGCATTCCCTGTGCTATATGGTTTCCTGATTCTCTGTGCCTCCCACTGTAACACTCAAAGCACTCTGTTATAGGTTGATTTAATGCCCATCTTTGGCACTAGACGTCAGTCCTGTGACCACTGGGCCCAGGTCTGGCTTATTCACTGCTTCATCCTCAGTGTCCAGCATAAGTACCAAACACTACTTAGGTTCACAACAAATATTGAGTAAATAAATGAAAACCAATGACAGTAACAAAACCTACCCCAAATCACATCCCTTCCAATCAGCTCTCAATGGAGAACAAAGGCAGGGGTAGAGTTCTGAGTAATTCACATAATAATGGACACTTTATTACATTATGATTTGATAAAACAAAAGCCAAAATCCAAAGTGGAGTAGAACAGATGAGGAAAAAAATTACCTCTGATTGTCGTAAAAAAAAAAAATAATAACCCCTGATTGTCTCATCATCAATCACTGGTTGGTGGATCTTGTCATAAAATGTCTCCACTATCACTTGATTTAATGAAATCCTGGTCTCCCTGTCTTTTCTTCCTCTTTCTCTCTTCACTCTCAGCTAACATTTTTTGAGCACCTACTGTGTGCTCTGTGAAAGTACCTACCCGTGTTGTCTCTTCACAGTAAATCTGAGGGATGAATATTATCCTCATTTTACAGGTGAGTGAACTAAGACACAGAAAGGTTAAAATAATTTAAGATGACACAGCTTGCAAATGGCAGCACAGATTCAAATCCAGGTCTTCTGACTCCCAATTCTGTTCTTCCATAATACCAGCCTGAATTGTTTTTAATAGATGTTTTTTAAAAATCATTTTTAGGTTCATAGCAAAACTAAGTGGAGAGTGAGTTCCTACAAACCTGTACCTTCCCCCTGCACACAGCCTCCCCCAACATCAAAACCCCCACCAGAGTGGTACCTTTGCTACAATTAGTGAACCTACACTGACACATCATTATCAACCAAAGTCCATAGTTTACTGTTCACTCCTCGTATTGTACATTCTATGGGTCTGGACAAGAGGACTGCTCTAAAAATACTCTGTG